AAATACTTGTTTTTTTTTTTTTCAATTTTCTATATCTATTATATTTGTTCATGGATCAATGCAAAAACTAATGATCGAAATGTTTTTGTGTACGAAATGAACAAGATTTCTATTTTTGTTTTTTTTTTTTTGGATAAAGAAAAGAACAGAAGAGAAAAAAGGGAAAAATCGAAAAATCAGATTTGTTTATTACAGTGGATATTTCCTATCACTAACACAAGAGTATGATAAAGAGAAATTTTGTAAAGTTAACAGATTTGAGGCAAAAATATAACAACGCATGCTTCTGTAAATTTGAATTTGAATTTGTCCTGATAAGGGAAACTAACTTATCCCATTTAGTCGAAACTACTTTGAGAAACTCATAGAAAGTATGTATGTTATCATCGAATTAGTTGACAATAGTATATATACTTTTAATTATGATATTTCGTATTTACTGAGATAAAAATAGAATTTAATTGATAATTGTTCTATTTTACCGACTTCTCATTTCAACATTTTTATTTTAACCGTTCATTCCGGTTTCCTAGAAAACATTTTAGGTAAAAGTATTTAGCACTCAAAGGATTAATATGTGAGAAACGTATTTATTCTATTTTCAAAAAAGGCTACATAAAAATAAACTACTAGGAAACCATAAACGTTATGCATGACACAATAAATTTACTTAATATTTAAACAATAATCATAAAAATATAATAAATAACTTTTTAGTCTTGCTATCTTTGCTCATTTCTATTTAGATATTTTTTGTGTACGTCGAATTTTTTTGTTTTACAAAAAACCTACAAATTTTAAAGCGCTCTAACCATATAGAAAATTTTTAACGTTTTTTTTACAGGCATGTGTTGTGTGTTGAAACGATGATAAAAATATAATAAAACATATTTTCGTGTTTTGTGAATATTTTAAAATACTTGTTTTTTTTTTTTTTTTTTTTTTTCTTTTTTTTGCCGACATACTCGACGATCGTTCTCTCATCGACGTTGATGAAAATTTTCACGGATCAAAATTTAATGAACATTTTTTTCATTTTTACTAGCTCAGGTGTCGGATAGAAAATAAAATTAAAAAAAAAAACAAGGAACCCTAAAATTCCCCGGCTCGTGGAGTATTTTTTTTACATTTTGTAGTTTGTTTAATTTTTTTCTTTGATTTTTCTTTGGTTTCTTTCTTTTTCCATCTACTCGAGTGAAATACTTTTAGGACGTGCAAATTATTTTTCCACGTTGAACATTTATTTGTAATCGTTCTTTTTAACTACTTTACTACTTTTTTTTTTAGATAGTTATAAATAATATATGTATAATATAATACTTGCCCTTTTCTTTTTTCTTTTTTATGGGATACGATTAAAACGTGGACATTCTTGCTCCCGTTTTTTTACGATCTTAAACTTTCTTCATTCCCATGTGATTCTTTTTTTTTTTTAGCGAGTATAATACGTATCCGCGATAAAACTAATATTCTATTGTACTCTAGTGGCTAAATAAAAGTGAAAAGAAAGAAAGATAAGGTACTTGTATAAGTATTCTGGACGATCTTAATGTAAAACATCCCGTTATAATGTTGAGCCAGATTGCATTAAGGATATATTACAGAAATTATGTATATGTTATTTTAAAAATGCTTAATCCTGTTATTTTGTAGACTAACTAACTATTGCATCGAATAACTTAATATTTTAGGGAAAATATATATATATATATATTATTATTAATTATAATATAAAATATTATAATAATAATACTGAATTAAATTATAATTAAATATCAATTTAATACAAATATAAATTTAATTTATATTTACTATAATATAATACAGTATTATTATTATAATATTTTATTTTATATTATATTATTTTATATATATTATATATATATATATATATATAACGAATTTTTTATTATACACTTTAACTAATACACAAAAAGTAACTCAGTTAATTCGAAAAATTCTATTTTCCTTTTTTTATTTTTTTTAGTTTTACTTCAAGTTTTTCTAAACGTTTTTTCTTTTCTTATCATTGTGCACGCATAAATGCACGATTAATCAATTAACAGCACTTGCGAATGTTTCGATTCAATAAGTTTTACGAGGTCACGATCGATTGGAAAAGAAGGAAATCGGATTTTTCGCACGTTTCTTTTCAAATTAGTTCTTTCTCTTTTCACTTTAGAGTAGGAATATCACTTTTTGATTTTGTTTCAATTTTTTAACTTTTTATTCCAATATCTTAATTTTAACCGTTCATTAAAACATATTTTTTCACTACACTCTATTCTAACATCTTTAGTAACATCTTTTATATTCATAAAAATCTTCAAATATAATTCATTAGTACTTAATAAGTTAACGTATGCATAACGTAATAAATTTACTTAATATTTTAACAGATTTGATAATTGACATTTTTATTACTTACGTTTTTATTTCTTTTCATTTTGTTTTTTTAATTTTTTTTTGAAAAAATATCTTATATAAAATATATTTCGATTATAAAATCGAGCAATTGTTCGAGTTATTACAAACGTAATAAGTACATTTTTCAGTTGAAACTTCCCTAGTGGTTTACCCTCTTGCGCAAGCTGCTTTCTTTCGGCTTTGTACAGTTCCGACATCTTTTTTCATTCAGTTTTCTCTCTGTCTTTCACTTTCTTTGAAAGTTCTTGACACTTCTACTAAGACAAGGCTATTATCAACCGTTCCGTAGGCTCCAAACTGAAAGGGAACTACTACTACTTTTTGTTTTTGTTTCAGCAGGGGAAAATCTTTTAAATACATTCCTTGTTGGGCGTGTGGGATTTCCTTCCACCCACTAAAAAAAACCCTGCCTCTTCACACTCCATCCCGGAAACACAGCTTTTGTAGCCACTACGTCGAGATGGTCCTGTCTAGGGGTCCTTCATCCGTCGATTGATCGTCTTTCATCTTCTTCCTTTCTTTTCATTATTTCTGCAATCAATTTGTTTGCTTCGTCCCATAAGCCTTGCTGGCTATCATTTCTGCTGTTAAATTGTCCACGGTTAGAATCTTGCCTATCTTTGTGAAGGTTGTTTGTCTCATAGTTTYCCATCTTTTGCATTTAAAGATAGTGTGCTCAGCAGTGTCCGGTTTTCCGCAATATATACAATTATTGTCCGGTGACTTTCCGATTCTATGCGTGAAGCTTCTGAAGCTCCCATGTCCAGTTAGGACTTGTGTCATACGGTGGATAGCACAAATATATGTAAGATTCGTGAAAAAAAACTGGACCGTTGGACTGACTGGACTGACTGGACCGGGACTCGAGCCACGGATCTTTCGCTTTCCGGGCGACTGCTCTTTAACCAATTGAGCTATCCAGGGCCCACCGACCAGTTCCCTTCCACGAATGCTTATCAAGTTTGGCATGGAGGCGTTCGTCCCACATATATCTGCATTCTTGCCACGCACTTATGTCTAGGATGTCTTCTGGTTCATTGGCCCACATTTATGTTTGCCTCCCAATTTCTTTGTCACGATTTAACCGTGTTTTCTACTATCATCTTCCTCTCCTCCTTTGAGATAGCAGTTCCTTTCTCGTAGACTCTTGTTCTTTCAATTGCCATTTGATACAGAGGTGGAATTCCTGCTATACTACTACTACTACTACTACTAATGCTATTACTACTACTACTACTTTTATTCGTTCTACTTACAGGTTGGCCACTCGCGAATTTAATTGAGCAATTTTTCTGCCAAGCTAAATAAGTACCTAAGCGTTATTTGCTAGAAAACTTTCGATAGTAGGAACCCCCTTCTCATAGCTTGATTTTCCTAAGTCCTCCTTATAGAGGGAATTGAGTGAACCCTTTTGAATTTTACTTTTTTGTAAAATCGATTGAACGAGATGAAAAAGAGTGTAGAAAACGTGTGTCGATGTTTTAACGAATGAATACCATGTTCACTTTAGTTTTATGTAGTTTTTGAAAATACTTCATTTTGATAGTATTTTAATTTGAATAAACGTCCCTAGGATCAGAAAATATTGACAAAAAAGATGTGCTACTTAGGGGTTGTTCATTTTATCTTTGAATAATATCCTTTAAATAAACAATCGTAAATTATTATTCTTACCTAAATGATGATATTATATTATTGTTTATTTTGTTGTTTTTTGTTTTTGCTTTATTAACAAGATAATTATCTTTGGAATGTTTATCGAGTGGAAAAGTTATTTATTCGTATTTTACATTGCCGAAATTCTTCACGTGCGTATATTAAATTGATTCGATTGTTGCTAAATAATGAAAAAGAGGATCACCATTTACAATATTAATTCTGTGATCGGATGTGAAATAAACGATAAGTATTTATTCGCTAATTATGCATTTCCAATCAGAGTACCAATACTTGTACGATTGAACGTGGAAGTAAGTATATATATATATATACTGTTTAATTTTAATTATTAGATTTTATCAATGTTATTTTGTGAGTACGTAAGCTCAATGATTGTCGTTATAGATAGGAATAACAATTCCGGTGTATTTTCCACGGCACCTAACTTTCCACTTCGGTTCTCTCTCACATCAGTATCAACGACATGC